AACGATTGGATAAGAAATGTAGGGGCTACGTCAGTCGGATAGCACCCAAAAGCCGAAATCTTAAATTGTCTTCTGGCTAACAAATGGAGGGTGCCCAACGTTGTGGGATCATCTCTTATTTCGGGGGGGTTCCAGCTCCTAATCCTAGCGCATGGGGTAGAGGCCACAATAAGAAAGGTAGGGGGCTACGTTTCTTATTTTGGGTGGTCTCCAAGCCCTAAGCCTAGCGCACACGGCAGGAGTCAAAATAAGAAATGTAGGGAGACGTAACGTAGCTCCGCAACTGTGGAGCGTAAGCTGGTGGGCCATGAAGTGCTAGCGGTTGCATCAAGACACCAAAGACTAAAGTGACGAAAGCATACTGCAATACTGTCTTGGCGGTTTCTGTCTGGCCTAATGGTTGAAGCCTTTGGCTCAGTTGACGGACTCCCATGGGCTCGAGCCCCGGCTAGGAAATGGCTAAGAAACGAAGGGTGCCCAAAGATTCGGGAGCTGAGAAATGAGGAAATGTGAAACTAAAAGGAATTTAAGAAATGAAGGGTGCCCAAAGCTGGAAACTGGCATTTCTTGTACGGTAGATGCACTGCATGCAAGAAATGAGTGTTGTTGGCGGCGTATCACAGCAGTTCAATTAGGACTGTGGGATCCTATGAAAATGATCCAGCTCTCAGGTCCTGCATCAAATAAAGCAAGCTGCGACCAGGGAGGTGTCCTTAGAATCTGGACTGTGAGGAGCTCCTAAAGATCATGGCAAGCCGCCGTCATGTCACATGTCAGATCAGCGCTGGCGCGGCTGCTACGGGGCAGCGAGGGTTCTCTCCAAGCGGCGAAAGGCAGAGCGATCACCAGCGCCTCCTCACCAGGGGCCGGAAAGTGTCCTGAATGTGTTGAGATGGCGTCGCGGAAACGAGAGAAACGGAAGGGTACACTGGCAGCTTGGCAACACAAACCGCAGATATCGGCAGTGCTTTGCAGATGAGTTTCTGGTGATGTCCCACGTGTCCCAAGAAACGACCTCGTGGAAGGTTTGGCAGGGCTCTGTGCTTGGGTTGAAGAGAAGCTATCCACGTAGACAGGCGATGCGGGCTGAGATGTTCTCCCTAGAAGATGCCTAAGTTGCTGCGACCTGTGTGCTGCAGCAAGCATGTCGCCGCTGTACATAATTACAGTACTGGCAGTGCCCGCACCCCGATTAAGAGCAGCCAGCAACAGCAGTGCCTCCACCATGGACCCCTTCGTTCCTGTGCAACAGCAGCTTCAACCCGGGGCGCTTCTTCTGCCCACACCCGGGTCCTTGAGCTGTTTCTCAGCCGGTCTCCAAAGAGACTTGTTCGAACCGCCACATAGCAACGCCCACGCCCATGCGTTACAAATGCGATTAGAGCTTTTGACGCCACCTGCTAGTATGGCTCGAAATGTGAAACATTGATGCAGGACTGAAATGGATGCCAGTTCTGGAAGTTTCACATTGAGAAATTAGAGGTTGAGAAAGCGCTTACGGCCAGACAATTATTATAAGAGAAGTTCGGGGGAACTTCGCGACCCTCCCTGCAGCCCCGACTGTGTTGCAATCTGGAGACAACCCGGAAAGCCCCGCGTATGTGTTCCAGGTGGCTCGGTAGCGCGCTTGGATCCTCGCACACGGCACATGCTCGTTCAGGACGAGTAACCATACTGTAACTGTAGCAGAAGCTATCATAATCAGTACGGCTGCAAATCCAGCAGGCTACCCTAGACGGCTTCGCAGTACCAACCAGAAACGTTGCCCTGCTGCAGAAATCTCGGCTGATTTTGCCACGCATCCGCTGCTGCCAGGTGGTGGAGAACCCCATTTGGGCCTGAGGCACAAGACAGAGTAGCACTCACAAAAATGCAGAGCATCAGCACAGTGCGGGGGTGCTTCTCTCCTCCAGGCTGGCAGTCACGGTGGCAATGTGATCGGCAAGACGTTCTTGCCGGGCGAAGACCTCCTTAGTCTGTTCGGTTCATCGTGAAATCCGAGAAAGTCAGCCCGTGAAGGTGATCAAAACATAGCTACTTAGCTACTTCTATCTCATTCTTATTGCGCAGGCCTGGCGGTGTAGCCGTGCAGCCTTACGACGTCTTCGTGAGGGTATTGCAGCTCAGCTTCTGTGTGCTGGTACTCAAGCAGTGTCAGCCTTGGAGGAGCCTGACGTAGATGCTGCGGGGATATACCTTTGGTAGACCCGCTGTACATACACCTACAGCTCGACAAGTTGCTTGCAGAGACGACGGCCAGTCGAGATTAGGACGACAGTGCATGAAGTCTCACGTCCATGCCATGGGCCTCTCAAGCCAGCAAACCCGGCATGTGGCAATGTTGGATTGTTGCATCTTGCGTCCAACCCAAAAGTGAGATCACATCCCGCAGGTTGGAGGGACTTGGCCTCTGGACATGGCTGAAGATGGACAACCTCCCAATCCATCTCCTGGACTGGGCACTGCGACACTCCGTGTTTGAGATCGGGCTGTGTGTACTTGAAGCGAGCGGGATGCGTCCTAAGGTAACTTCGGCTTGTGGCTCGTCTGAAGCTAACTATTTCACTATGCTGCACTGAGGCCGCTTAAGCCACAAAGCAGTGTGCTGTCATCAGATGCCCGTGTCACATCGCAGACATGTATCTCTGCTTTAACGAAATCCGCCGAGGCCACAGGCGTCTTCGGGGTTAACTCAGTGCCCTCTACCTAATCCGCCTCCCTGTACCACAATTTCGACCTTTCGCCCGGCCCTCCCCCCTTTCTCGTCCTTTTCCCGACAGCTTTCTGCCTTNNCCCCCCCCCCCCCCCTCCCCCGACCCCCCTTCCGCTTGCCCTCCCCCTCCCCCGCCCCCCACCCTCCTCGTTCGCCAATCAGCGTAACTGATCATGACCGGGTTGTGTCACGGTGCTGCACTCCGGCAAGCGAAGGCGGGCGGCGTAGTGCTAAAGTTATAAACTAAAAACTAGGACTCAGCCAGATGCGCAAAATCAGTCACGTCTGGGACATTGGATCAGTCGGCTGGTTGCACTGAAACGGTTCCTGATTCTCAACGCGTCCACTCACATAAAACATGAAATTAATGTGTTTGCTCCACCAACATATTCTGGCACATCCACCCTGTGTTTTGAGAGACTCCCAGTGTTTGTGCTGGAACACCGAAGGTTCCAAGACCCTTGCTTGAAAAATGCGTCCTTCGTTTCTCATGAACCTGACGGAAATGGAATCAGCCTGCGACACGACGTCTGAATGTGAAGGTAGGCAAATATCGAGGCATGTTCAGCGCTTTCGGAACGTCCCAGGTTGGCCAGCCCGACCCAGTCATGGCCTTCCGGTCATCAATAGGCCATGTACGTTTACATCAGAAAGCCAGGCCCACGCCTGTCCAAATAAAAAGCCCCGCAACAGCAAACGGCAACACATCCTCACTGGCCTCTGCAGTACGAGTCACCACTTTGCGGCTAAACGGTCGCGTTACATCCATTGCATTATGTCTGCAGTGCATTCAAGAAGGCCTTGTGGTCGCGTTTAGGGACTCTGCGTTATGTCGCACAAAAGATTGAAAATGGACGACGGCAAGGATTTACTTGCCTGTCCGCCTCTTGCACCAAGAACAGCAGCTGATATGAGACTTCACCCAAGTGTTTCAAACAGTCTTTTTGCCTTGTACTTACAAGGGACAAACAGTCTGTGTGGCTGGGTTGGCTTCACCTGTGGCGCTTTTCGGGGTGCAGGGTGCGTTATTCCGGGCGACAGAAACCTGCGGCAAAACTGGTGAGGTTCTTCTCACGTCGCGGAATTGCACCCGAGCTTGCGCAGCTTTGGTTGTCTTCATCAGTTGTGCCTTCAGCGGGGTTTTTTGGAGAAAGTCCGACTCGGTCCACGGCTCGACCAAAAACACCCGTGGAGAGAAAAAACGAGGGGCGTATGTGGGAAACTCGGATTTCACGCCCCGGGCGCTGGCGCTCCCAATGTCGATGCCTTTGCCTGGTAAATCCTAGGACAGCCCGGTTTCACCCGCCAAAGGACTGGGACATACTGGGACCGGCCAAACAACGCCATGCCAGTTCTGAGTTTGTTACTGAGGCGATGGCTGTGAGATGCTGCGCCAAGCGAAGTCGGGGACACTCCTCAATGCAAGGATCGCCTAGTAGAGAAGAGCGCTCCGGGAGCTTCAGTTTTTCCGGATGCTTCCGCCGGAGCACCCTTGCCAAAGCTCGCAATCCCAGCAGGCAGCGAGGAGGTGGCAGCTCCTCGCTTGCACACTACACTCACTACACGCTTGCAACATAAGTTCCGACAAAGGTGTGGTGCACACAAATTTCCGGTGTCCAGCAATGCTGCTGCGACCAGGGGCGCCCACGAGTCGTCGCCTCTCTGGCCCAGGTACCTCACGAAAGCAAGGGCTTCAACGACCCAGCTTCAAGGCTAAAAGCGGCTACTTGTAGAAGGCTGGCGGGGCCTGTACGCCAAGCCAGCTTTCTCCGTGGTGTCCTCCAAAGCCTTGAAGGACTCTCCGGCTGTCTGCGTTAACATGCTTGAGTCTTGGTAGCCATGACATTGGCCGTTCAACGGTTTGTCAAACATCTTCTGGCATGCAAAGGACGTGCATGCATTCGCAAGGGGTGAGATAAGTCAACAACACCGTTTCTGTTCTCGTCAGCAACCAATCCCTGAACAACCCTCCGGAGATACTACATTGCATCAAATTGCATCCAAGCACGTCGCTGTTGAACCACGGCCGCTTTGTGCTGTGGTCCTCTGAAGTACAGCTCCCACAGTCACATGCGTTGTCACGAATCAAGCGTCCGGGTCCAGCTCACGAACGTCAAGAATGCTGGCGATGCCGCGCTGCAGCAAAAGCGAGCAGAGCAGCTCGGCGCTCAGGTGCCCGCAGCCGCAAGTGAAGACCTCATCCGCATGCAGGATCCATTGACGCTGCTGCAAGATGCTGATTGCATGGCGCCTGTCGATGTCCCTCGGACGGAAACTGCGTAGTTCGCGAGGACAACGGCCGATCTCGGCCCGTCGAAGCTCTTTCCACATAGCCTGTGCAGATTTCATCAATACCAGTGACAGATCGTCACAGCAACTTGACATCTAACGACGTATGCACGAATAAGAGTCACAAACGTAATTCACGGGCGTGACGCTTCCGGCCTGTGATGGTCGATCTGGCCTCGCCGGCCTGTTCGGGTACTGGGTGGCACTTCAGCATCAACGACCGGGTCCTGTACTGACTCGTATGGCACGTGCAGCGAATCCACCTGGACCTTCCATCGCGTGGCTCGCGATGACGTCCTCAGTCTTCACTGCAGAACGTTGAATCGTGACCGCACTGCGTTCGTGTAAATCTCTGGGCTTCAGCTCCAAAAAGACTGAGCCGCCTCCGAACCGCTAGATGCTGTCTGAACTGCGCGCGGAGCGTCTGCTGTTGAAAGTGATTGGCTTCCAGCTTCTTGAACCATGTCGGCTCCATGGCATTGCAGCACGGCAGTCATGCGCGCTTCCTTGTGGCTGCGCCTGTGTACAGACTCTTGCCTGCACTTGCTCTTTCGGCTTGGGCGCAGAGTCTCGGGATGCTGCAGGTGCCGGTGTAAGCTACCTATCGATTCGATGCTGCTATACAGTGGCTGAAACGATGGACTCTGCTTCCGCGAGCCAAATCACGTGCACTCCCAATGCAATGACATCAAGCACAGCACGGTAGGAAGCGGTAGGTCCCGGAAGCAATCAGCATCATGCTGCTAAACCTTAAAGCAACTGCAGCCACAGGGAGCAGAACAAACAGATTCAGGAGTGCCTGGCGCTGCGCCGCCCTTTGGCCTGACAGTTAGTCTCCGTAGGCATGTTCCCGCATCTAATGGCTGCCTTTCATGCCTGAATGCTCCCTCTAATCGTCGTCATGCTCTCATGAAATTGAGGAAAGAATTTTGCGACTGCAGGCTGCCTGAAACGTCTGGACCCACAAAGCCTGGAGCGCACACGACTGTCCTGCACAGCAAATGAGCTTTACCAGAAAGAGTAGTGCTGAGTAGTAATTAGAAAGAGGAGAGGCACCACGGAAACTCTCCTAGCATGCTCCAAGTGCAAACTGCCGGCGTGACGTTTCTCAGATGCATTCCGTCTTAATATCCTTCGTGGTGTGAGTAGCCACGGCAGTCGCACTGGAGGACCTGTCCATTTTGGAGTCCTTGCAGGAAGAAGCTCGCTCTCGAACACGTACACGAAAAGAAACACCCACCCACACACACACACACGCACACCTTACATTCCTAACCGAACTTATTCAAGATATTGATACACCGAGGCGAATAAAGTGGTGTGGGTTTGGGAAAGTTCGAAAGCCTGTCGACAAACACAAGTCCAGAAGCAGTGATCAGTGGTAGGGCGGCCTGCTGGAAGTGAAATGACGTGGTTCTGCGGTACGAATGGTGGAGGTTTGAGGTCAATGCCGGCAGCCGGCCTCTTGACAAACCCGCAAGCTGCCACCCAAATAAGTCGAGCTAGCAAGCGGTTCGCTTAAAGTAGCTTTGTTGGTTTTTCAATCGCGGTTGAAAGCCATCAGACGCGGTTGCGTCATATCCGCCGGGTGACTGCGCAGGTAGTGTTCGCAATGATTCCTGACTTCTTCCTCAAATTCCGACCCCCCTCCTTTGCCAAATGCGCATGGTCTTGACTTCCACAAACCTGATTACTGTAGAAAGCAAACCGCAACTCGACGAAGTCAAGCCGTGAAGCTCGAAGTCTCCCTCATTTTAGCACCTCGCCAGTACCTCACATCAGCCCACTTCACCTCCCAAATCCTTACCCGCGCCTTGCCGTCCTCCGCAGTTCTACGGATCGTGCTCCTGAGAAGTACTGAAATCTCTCTCCAAAACACGTTTCAACCTGCCGCAAATCGGTCGCATGTGGTTGAAGGATTCATTGGCTGGAATGCTGAGTTGCTGGCTTCAGATAGCCTGAGCAGCAAGAGCGAGGACAAACTCTACAGAAACTCGCTCATGCCCTCCCGACGCAGATCAGAAGCTCCCTTTAGATCACAAGTGACTCCGTTACTACCCTTGTTTCCATGAATTCCAGCTTTGAGCCAGGCATGCGAGGCTCTTCGCAGGCAGAGAGAGTTTTGGTGTTTACACAAAATGCCACTCAGCAGCTGTAGAGACCACTGCCGAGCAATGTGACAACCTTGTCATCAGTGGCGCGGACGAGGATCACCGAAGAGAAACGATTGCAGGGTGCATGAATGAGTCGGCATGACATCTGTGCAGCGACTCGGCGGGTGAAGCTGGCATGTCTCGGTCGGACTGTCCGAGGCTGCGACGGTTCCGCACCTGTCACGACCGACCGTTGAATCAGAATGCTCGCTGCCACGCGATCCCTTTGCCCTTTCAGAACTCCCTGCTACCATTCCGGGAGCTTTGGATCTCTCAGTATGCCAGCCGTGACTACCGGTGCGGAGAGCTTCTTCGGTGCCATTTGGTTGCTGTCTGTGCTGCAAATGCACGAGACCGAACTAAGCGGTGAAAGACCAAGATCACATGACAGGTTTCCAGGATTTGCAGAATTAAATCGAAAAGCCGCTCCTCTTGATCAACTGCCAACCGCCAAACAAAGTGCAGCAAGCAAAGAAGGGGGCTGGCAAGGCCACCGTTTCCAACACACAGACTTTGTCAATCATGTGGATTCTGAAGTCGGTCATGATAAGGCATGGCACTCATTCAAGCGTCAACAAACACAAAGGGCATTTGGGAGGCCGGGGGCTAGATTAGTGCTAGCTAGCCTGACGGGTTCGGGGGAATATCTCGCATCTTGCTGAAGGCTAAAGGTTGGTCCCTGTACCAGCCGCCACAATGCCAAGAACAAAAACGCTCAACTGTGGAGTGAAGCAGCCAAAAACAAAAATCAGGAGCTACTTTCGGCCCCAGGAGACGCAACGGGAAAGGTTGAAAGGTTAGAGTGGAAAGGACGACAAGGAAATAAATAAGGTGGGCAGAAGGGAAGGTTAGGTCATTGGAAGGTTGGCCCGTGGGCTGATAAAGGATTCGACGGAAAGGAAGAGCAGAACGTACTGGAGGAGTGTTGAGGGCCTGGCACGAGGTGGAAACAGTCAAGGGAGACAGGTGGCAAAAGGCTGGTATTTGCTTGCTCTGCCACAATCGGTGGTCTTGAGACAGGAGTCATCATCATCAGATTGTGTAAAGCAACAAGGCAGGTCGCCTAAGGCTTCGTTCCCACATCGGCTGAAAGCTTTCCCCGCTCCCTTGCGCTTTATCCAGCCCATCCTGGGTGTCCCGCAGTGCTGTTGTTGTAATGACGTTGCCGAAGTAATGTGCTGAGAAACCTCGGTGGCGGGACCGATTTTCTGACATTGCCACAATGCCTGTTGACGCCCAGGACAGTGCTGCTAAGCCTGCACAGCAAACAACGGAGTCGCCCCTGCTGCCCCTATCTCCGCCTGCGTTTTCCGTAAGGGTCCGGCAAATGATCAATGCCCTCTTCGCGGTGTTCATCACAGAAAGCGTGACCGGAGAGTAGCAGGACCTCATACGCTTCAGTAGTTTTGACCCAGTACTCAGTACCTACATTGACTTAAGCCGTCAATGTATGCGGCTGGCGTGCATTCATTGCTTCTGAAAGGATTCGTGGAATAGAATCGTGTGTCTGTGCGTAAGTGCGTGTGTTGGACCGCCTTTTCAGTTGTCATGCGAGAGATGTGGTTCTGACAAACGACAGTCACCGCAAGCAGCTAGTGAAGGACTAGCATCTGAAGGCTGCTCGGCCTTCGGCCTCGGGACCTGCCCCCTCATGCACGTTTGTCCCAAGCCCCCGGAGCGAGTGCGACTTCTGTGCGTGTGCAGCGGAAGAGAAGAGGGAACTGCAGTAATCCCGGTAGCGGCGAGATGCAAGAAATTCAGTACATGGGTGAGTTTAGGCCTTCTATGCTTCATGTTAACATGTTCGAACATTTCGGATACAGGCTACATCTAAGGGAGAAGGGTGCTACATGAGAGTTTGTAAAAATCTTGATTTGCCAGCCTTCCCCATGCTGTGTGGAGTTTCAGAGGGGTTATTTTTTGGCCTGCTTTTACGGCTTTTGTTTTGTTGTCCTGCGAGAGCTCGGCGGGTGTGGGGGCCAGGGAGGGGCGGGGGCAGGGGGGGCCAAGTCTTTACATACAAGTAAGCTTCGAAGCTATATACAGGTGGAACCAACATACCGTGTTGACATGACTTAGATTTGATTTGATGACACCTATCATATAGAAACTGCATTATTCTATCTTATATTGATATTCATTCAATATGATAGACTTGTGCATCAATAGTAAATTCCACTTTTGTTCATACTTACAAATCAATCTAATGTTGCATAAAAAACTAGTATTGCCATATGCTTCTATGAACACTATGTCAAGATTATGCGAAACCTATACGGCTAGTATACGAACAAGCAGCTAGTAAACCTTACATTCATAATTTTAATATTAGTTTCTGTTCTGCTGTGGTACAGAACAGTGTATTAAAATACAACCTTATTGCACATTTTATGCAGAATATGATGTGTTATTCTATTGTCTGATAATACTATGCAGTATGATACTGTTATATCATAGCATATAGTGTGCATATGTACACACACAGTGCATATATATATATACAAAACGGGACA